GTCGACGGAGAGCCGCTCCATGAGCAGGGAGGTGAAGCCAGAGCCGGTGCCACCCCCGAAGCTGTGGAACACCAGGAAGCCCTGCAGCCCTGTGCACTGGTCAGCCTGGAAGAAGGGAAGAGGAAAACAAGACCAAACCATCAGTAATTGTGGATTTCAGCTGCTACCCAGTTACTCAGGATGGCAAATATTCACCCCAGGATCTCAGGCCTCTGGGGCACCTGCAACAGGTCCTTGGAGAAAGGGGTCCCTTCCCACAGGGACTGGGGGATACTCAGGAGAGACAAGGTGTGGGGACATGTTTATTCTGGGCAGCAGACGTTGCTCCTTCCTCTCTGTGGCCTCACGAGGATATTTTGGGGAGGTCTCAGCAGCAGGGCAGGAGCCACCAGGATGGAGGACAGGGTGGCCGTGACCTCACCTATTGGACACTACTCATGATGAATCCTCCAGCTCATGGGAGAGACCCCAGTGAGGTCCAGAAGGGCTTCACCCCCTCTTCCTCCCCAGGGTGGGTGCAGCAGGAGCCATCATCCCACAGGAGCCCACGGGCAGCCAGCTCAGCCTTTGATGTCCCGGGAGCTCCCGGAGCGGAGCCGGCGGCGCAGCAGGTCCAGCCAGACCTGGCACCAGCCCCAGCGTGGGAACCAGAGCTTCAAAGAGCTTGGGCAGCCACACCAGTCAAACCAGTGCTGTACCAGCACCCAAACCATCTGGGCTACCTCCCCCTTGCCCTGGGCATGGGGCTTCCCATCCTCCTCCCTTTGGCGAGGCTCAGCACCAGGCAGGGACAGGGGGACGGCCCAGACCTGCCCACCCAAACCTGGTGGCAGCAGGTCCATCCTGTGCCAGCTCAACCCTCTGCTCCAAAGTGCAGATGGACTGAGAAGGACCTACCCAGGGACACCTGGGCCTTCCTTTCGTCTCCACACCCCTGCAGGGATGGACCCACCCTGCAGGACCCCACGGCCACTCACCAGCTTGCGGATGCGGTCGAGGACCAGGTCGATGATCTCCTTCCCGATGGTGTAGTGCCCGCGGGCGTAGTTGTTGGCCGCATCCTCCTTGCCCGTGATCAGCTGCTCGGGGTGGAAGAGCTGCCGGTACGTCCCCGTGCGCACCTCGTCTGTGGGGAGAGCCCCGGGCCCCGTCACCACCCAGCGCCCGCTGGCACCGCCCGCCCAGCGCCCACCCGCTGCCCCCCGCGCCCCCTCACCGATCACCGTGGGCTCCAGGTCCACGAAGACGGCCCGGGGCACGTGCTTGCCGGCCCCCGTCTCGCTGAAGAAGGTGTTGAAGGAGTCGTCCCCCCCGCCGATGGTCTTGTCGCTGG